AGAACGGACAAATAAATATCTGTTAAATTTAAGATTAAAAAATTTAATTACGCAAAAGCAATATGAAAAACTAGGGATTAAACCAAATGAAGTAGAATTAGCACACCTTTATTATTTACCAAAAGCACATAAACCTGATACTCCACTTCGACCAATTATTTCTGGATTAAAACATCCAACTATAAAAATATCAAAGTTTCTTGACGAAATACTTAGACCGTTGTTTGATCAAATGGCAGCAAATACAACAGTTACTTGTGGAACTGAAGTGATTAAACAATTGCACGATTGGTCAAAACAAAATCTACGTGAAGAAACTATATTATGTTCAATGGATGTAATAGATCTGTATACAATGATTCCACAAACAGAAGGAATACTTGCAATTAGAAAAATGTTAAATTACTTAAACATAAAACAAATTAAAGGTTTAACAATTGAAACTATTATTCGTTTATGTCGTTTTGTAATACACAATAACTATTTTTCTTATAATGAAAAATTTTATTATCAAGTACGAGGTGGTGCCATGGGCTCACCATTGACATTAACAATTGCTAATTGTTATATGTTCTTTTTTGAACGTAGCATTGTTAAACAAGTGAATAATAGCAATGGACTTTACTTACGATATATCGATGATATATTTATTACTATTAACTGGCCGATACAACATTTGTTAAAACAAATTAACCGTTGGAATCAATTCGACATAAATATTAAATTGAAAGAACAAATTGGCCAATCAACGAATTTTCTTGATTTATATATAGAAAATAAAAAAGATAGACTATTTACAAAAGTTTACCACAAGCCATCATATAAACCATATTATTTACCATTTACGAGTGTTCATCCCAACCATATGAAAATGAATATACCCTATACAATGTTAATTCGTGCAATTAAATATTGTTCTACATTTGAAACATATGTAGATGAACGTGAAAAATTAAGAATGGCTTTTCTATTGAATAAATATCCAAATGAATTTATCGATAAACAATTCGATCGCGTATTCCAAAAACATAATTTAATACAATCTGTAGCCGCAAACGATTACAAAATTATACGAGAAAAATTAATGTATTCACAAAAAAATGAAAACATTCAAATTGATTATAGAAGAACACTATTTGTTCATTTTACATATTG